TGTGTACTAGAAAGCATTACTGTATATTTGATGCCATGATGGGTCATCTACAATAGAACAACCTTGTGAAGGAATCCTAGTACAGATTTATACCTGGACACTCCTGCTTGACACAGGTGTTGGAGGTATTGGCTGAACACTTACAAATCCTTATACTGTACATGGGAATAATACTGAAAACATGGACTTCTCCTCAGGGCTTTCCTAGTTAACTAATAGTCTTCTGTGCTCCTAGTACATCAATCCCATTTATATTTTTTACACTGCTCGAGTAACTTTCCATTTTGTAATTCACAACTGATGCTCTAAATGTGATTATGTTTGGATTATGAGTTCTTTGGGATTATTTCCAAATTTAGACATTTTGAGTGTAGTTCATGTTTTTTCTCAATTCAAACTTCTTACCTCAGTAACAGCACGAACAGAATAATCAGGTGTGAAGGAGAACTTTGTGGAATCAAGAGACTGAACGCTCCCTAGCATGCTTCCTTTGCTGAGCTGAGTGGATGCAGATGGGGATTCTCCTGAAAATAAGTTTAACAAGATACTGTATCTAATATCAAGTTTTAACTGTGTGAGCGACAATACCAAATACATTTCTTTTTGCAGTTGGCAGCATGCAAGTTCAAGGAAAGTTGATAAGCTCAAGTTCGATCAAATAAGTATTAAGGGAATCTGAAAGTTCAGTCGGTGCTATTTAAATATAAGTTTAATTGCAAAGTATCGAAATGAGATCTTATACAGGGTATATCAATCGACACTTCCAAATCCGTTCACTAAAACTTTTTACTTTTTTTTATTGTCAAACTGGTCAGTATCATCTTCAAAGATCAGTTGATTCATTTCTAATTTCTATGTTTTGTTCATATTTACCAAACTTGTTCCCCTTAACAGTGCTCCACCTTTCTCCTCTATTACTACCCCATCCATGAAAATACTGTACAAACATGGTGACACTATGCATCACTGAAGAGTCCAACATTCTCTACCAACTACTTTGCTCTCTCTCTATAAACAGTACAGGTTGTACCTCTCTAGTCCAGCATTCTGTGGTTCGGAAACTCCAGTGGTCCGGAACGATTTTAGTTTGTCCAATAGGTAGATAGGCAACTTTTTTTTTTTTTTTTTTATCTGAATTATTATTATTATTACAGGAGTATTAAATTTTGGCCCCTCAGGCCCCAATGTGGGTCAGTGACCTATGCCGGGTGGGCTAATCCCTTTAAAAAAAAAAAAAAAAAGTCGCGGGAAATTAAGGTTTGTTTACATCCGGCAGTTCGGCTGCTCTCTCTCTCTCTCTCTCTCTCTCTCTGCTTGTCTAAAAAGAGTACAACATTTAACCCTTCAATATATATGAGCAGTAAATAAGTGTTGTTTTCATATTCTTATGTAGAGTAATGACGATATGTTTTCACATGTGCTCACTTATATACGTGCAGTCTCACTTTTTTTTTTACCATTAATGGTTAGCTACTTATATTGTTCCATTTATTAGCATTAAATAACATTACATGTACTTCAAACAACCATATTAATTTGTTTACATTAATTTTACTACAGCTAAAATCAGGGTCTTATTTTCTTCAGTTTTATATGTAGAACCAATCAGTCACTGGTTTTGTAAGCTTTAACATAAACAATGCCGGCAGCCGTCTCGTCTTCTCGTGTGTTTTAAGATTCCACGTATTATTAATAAATTGTATTGTTAATTTTGCACACACAAACATTAATTCAATAAAAACAAATTCAGAAACATTAATTAAAATATATATGAACAGTAAATAAGTGTTGCTTTCATATTCTTATGTAAAGTAATGACGATATGTTTTCACGTGTGCGCATGCGCACTTACATACGCGATCTCTTTTTTCTTTACCATTATCGTTAGCTCCTTCTATTGTTCCATTTATTAACATTAAATAACATTACTTAAAACAACCATATTAATTTTACTACAGCTACAACCAAGGTCGTATTTTCTTCAGTTTTATATGTAGAACCAGTCAGTCACTGGTTTTGTAATCAACGAAAACAATGCTGTGTCATTTCCTCGTGTGTTTTAATATTCTACGTATTATTAATGAATTGTATTGCTCATTTTGCACACATAAACATTAATTCAATAAAAAAGACATTCAGTCATAAACAATAATGAATCTTTTGTACATAAGAGAAATGACGCTGTTTACACGATTATGCACGTCGTCTGCACGTTGGCGGGCCGATCAAACCCGTCGAAATTCAAGTTTCTGCCGTCAAATTTTTATTTATTTTTTTTTTGTGTTCCAATAAAATACGTTAAGAATTAAAAACTCGCGAAATTTGAGAAGCTACTATACGACCCTTCAATATGTCTTCAAAGAGACCATGATGCAGAGAAAGTGGTGCTGGTGCTTCCAAGCATAAGCACAAGTCACTATCTATCCAGGAAAAGGGTGAATTTCCATGGTCCGGCAATTTCCATGGTCCAGCACCGGTCAGGTCCCGAGGTTGCCGGACTAGAGAGGTACAACCTGTATAATGATTGTGATTAAACGACTGCACATTCATCCCATACATACTTATTACCTCCCAAAATGCTTTTCTAACAAATTTACCACGTGCTCCTTCTACATCCATAAATGCCACACACAAATTCTTTTCCTTCTTTAAAAAATTTTCAGTCATGTTCCTGAATGCAAATACACATCCTTTGCCATCGCATCCCACACTGACTTTACCACTTAACACATTATTTTTCACTTTTCAAATAAAAAGTTGCTTTTAGCCCAAAAATAACCTAATACTGTACCTTGGAATTGAGTGTTTGTTACATTTTGCCTTAAACATACATGGACTTTACCATTTAAACACGCTACTTTTCACTTTCAGTATAAAATAAAAAAGTTTGACAAAAAGTGGGATTGCCTCAGCAACTGTACATAAAGGAGAAACAGATATAGGAACTTAGAAGAAATAAATGAAAAAGAAAAGTATGACAAAACAGTAAATGAAAAAACCTAACCTTTAAACAATGTACAGTATAACAATTATTAAAAATAAAAACAATATGAAAATTGAAAGTCCACCTTTAAAATATAAAATACATACCTATAGATTGGACCTGAGAGAGTGCTGCCATTCCAAAGTAGGTAAACGGCCCACTTTCAAATGACAAGTTCTCTTTTCCTATGGTAACCTCCACATGACCCTCCAGTATGAGAACAAAGAAATCAACTGGTTTCCCCTGAAAATTAAATGGATTCCAGTGAGATCATCATATTCAGACATACCGGTACAGAAAAAATGAGTAAAATGAACTTCGTTAAAGCAATAATGTACACACAATTGCTCAGAATAAGACTAGTACACTATGACATTTGCTACAATAAGAACTGCAATATCTATTCTTTATTCCTGACTTATTATGCATTCCACTAGCTAACCATAAGTAATTATTACACTATACAGCATTACACTGAAAATGGTTACACATTAATGTAGTAACTACAATAATTCTCTTAAAAAACAAGCATACCTGTACATAATAATTTTATAACCAATTTTAAGAAAATGAATGATAAAAAAATTATGAACTACGGTATACAAAGTCAAATATTAAAGAACCTAACATTGCCACTCACCTGTGTATATAAGTAGGTATGCTGCTGATCAACCCTGGACTGTTCCTTGTGTCGTAACTTAATGCTGTGAATGACATCTTGATTTAGCAGCTTTTTGACTATCATTTCTGACAGCTGACCTTCCTTAAATGGTTCAAGAGCTGAAACACAACAATGGTCTTTGAAGTAATCACAAAATATTTTTTAAATTGTATTATCAATAAGAGGCGGTCTGTATTTTTGTACTGCTGCTTCTACAACTTACTATCTATTTTACTGTCATAATATTATTGTCACTCTCCTTATAATCAATATTTTAAACCCACAAGCATTATTCAGACCCCAAAATTTCAGATTACAAGATTTACAAACTAATGTGAAAAAACAAAAAAGGTCAAATTTTAAACCTTTTAGTTGCATGTTACATAATGCATAGTATCAGTGCTAATTTGTCCAGCATTTTAGTTCATGAATCTGTATATCTAAGTTTCTTGCTCAAGAGGACTAATATTGTACTCAATTTATCTATAACAGTCATACAGTGTACATAATATTTGGATTAGACAATTTAGAAATGTGTGTGGTTAGCGACTAAAAAATTTGTATTCCTTATCTAGTTCAGTGATTCACAAGGAGTGAAATACATATTCCATAAAATTCTGGAGAGATAAAGAAGGAAGGCAAATTGATCCTTCAATCAATCTCAAGTTTATGTACCAAAAAAGCATCACATAATGAACCCTTTGGTGGATGTTAAGTGGTAAGAGAATAGATAGTAGGTAATGTTTGATCCATGTTGTTATTGGGTGATTGATTTCAAAATAGTTTCAAAATGACAAAACGAAAATGAACAGACAGAAAAAATCTATAAAGTAGTTTGTAATTTCTGAACAGTGGCAGATGCTCATTATGTTTTATATTTCCTGCCATTTGGAAATTTAAACTATTAACTGATAAACCCACCTTGCTTTCTGTTCCTTTCTAATCTAACACTGAAGAAAGTTCTCCTTCTCCTCCTATATTCAAATTTTCCTTCGTCAAATTTCTTGGATTTTGCTGTACAGTACTTATTCTCTTCATCTACATTGTTGCTCTATCAGTTATCTTTATACAGTATTTGCTATTTTCTCAATAATATTTCTGTTAACTGCATAAATTACTTATAATGGCAAAATATTTCTGAACCACTTAAGACAACTTACATGTACGAAGATACTGCAAAGCTGCTACCTGCAACTGGGGGGAGATGGGTGCACGCTTGTGATTTGTCTGGTTGCCTGGTTGGGAGAACTCTGCAAAGTCAGGTCGACCAACGTGTTGACGACGACGCCTGGAGCGATTATCAGCTGAAAGAATTCCAGAATTTAACTTGCATTTTTTTTTCTGTACAGTATAGACTGGATTTACTCGGATTTTGTTTACGCGTTTGGTCATTTACGCGGTGCCTTGCCAGAATGAAATGTTTTAATTAAGCGGTAAATTTCATCATTTACGCAGGAAGAAGCACGAGCAGGGTGCGCACAAGGTCACCCAGTCATCAAAACATTACCGAGTTCTTCACCCGCCACCCACCACAGCCGGCCCAAGTCAGTGATAGTGATAGTGATAGTGAGGATATGGACATTGAGGGGTTTGACAAAGAGGCCCTGCAAGCCTCTGTGGTGGATAGTGATACAATTGATACAGGTGAGGGCCAATAATCTGCCCTCTGCCTCGGAACCAACTCCCCATCCCCGTGTGCCCAGCCATCTTTTCTACTAACGTAAGTGTTAAAAAACCTAATATTATTGATATTTCTCTTAAATATTAATTGTGTGTGCATACCATCATCAAATTTAGATGTTATTTTTATTACAACGTACGTATTGTGTCAGAAAAAGTGTAGTTTGGGGGTCGGCCCTGTCTCTATTTCAATTAATCCCATATGTTCTGTTATTTCGTTTACGCATTTCTCGTTTTATGCGGACCTCCACGGGTTCAATTGACCTCATAAATGCAGACTATACTGTATTGAATTTTTTTCTAAGCATATGATATTCATTCAATGCTGATGACATAACATACTAATTTTATTTACCTTCACATACAAAACTAAACAATGTACAGTATGTAAAAAAAAAGAAATAAAAGGGTTAAAGAGCTGGTTATATGGTACACCTGAGAAAATATAAAGGCTTTCTTATAATGTACAAATAATAATTTTAAAACAAAATACAGAGAAAGCAACCAAGCCTTATCTTTAAAAACCAACAATACCTTATACAGTAATCACAAGAGTATCAAATATCATCACAAGGTCATAAAAAATAGAGCAGTGACCTGTAGTTGTGGATCTTGTGTGACCTTACAGACAGATAAATTTCCTGCTAACAGCTTAAGATGATGTCAGAGCAATATCTATCTTCTTTACTGTTCCTCCATGTTACTTCTATTCACCACTTTTTTCTACAATTACTGTACTGTATTTACATAAGTCCAGTTGTGAACTTGTACAAGAAAGTCTAAATAAACTAGCAGGAAGGTTTATAAAAACATTTACACACAACATGCATGAAACAGTTGCTATACACCCAATATCATCCTAATCTTGCATATTTAACTATGCTAGAAAGATAATTTCAAACTATTAATTAATTCTCCCTATTTAAACATAAATATTTACAATTGTAAATTCTGGGGTATTGTGTAAAACTTTTAAGACTGAAACTTACTGAACACATCTGTTTCATCCACAATTTCTTCCTGAATGAGCTCTTCAATCACATCCTCCAGGGTAACAAGGCCCAACACTTCATAAAATGGATCACATTCGCCTTCATTGTTAACTTGATGAACAAAGGCCATATGACCTTTTGCACCTGAGGAGAAAAAAAAAACAGAATGAAAAATGTGGAAAACTTTTCTTTGATGTACTGTACAGATACACAGTGAACTATTTAGCATATAGAATCCTCAGGACCAAGGGCATGCCATTCTCAAAAAAGGCAGTTTATTGGGAGTATACTATACAGTACAGTACAGTAGAGTTGGGATATATCGCAACTTTATATAAAGATTTTTTTATATCGCTACTACCAAAATTATTGAAATTTTTATATACAGTATACTGTATAGCGATATTTTTATTATTATTTTTTTTTTTTGCGAGGGAAATCGGGCAGGAAATATTTCAAATGTACCGCCATGGCAAACAAATGCGTTATTTGCTCACCAGAGGCTCCACCATGGCTACTCACTCACGCATTCAGCCTTGTCCGCTCAGTCTTTCTAAGTGAGTGACGAGAAAGCAGCAGACAATGCTGCAGATTACGACTTCTAAGGTGAGTGTAAATAGGTTGCTAGTGACATGAAAAGTGAATTGAAGATAATGGAAAGTTTAATGGAAAAGATTTAATACTGTAACTAATATTTTTGGTGTTCATTTATGTAGGTGTAGGATTGTCGAATGAGGGTGGCAGTGTGGTGTTTGTTCTCAGGATGGTGCGTCTGCTGTCGAGTCTGGTGTTCCTGGGATGGTTCGTCTGCTGCCAAGTCTGGTGTTTCTTAATATTGATATTGAAATAGCCTGTTGTTCCTGAGTCTAGTGTTCATTGGTGCTTTAGTTAGTAAGAAAATGAACTCGTTAAGTCAAGTTTAGTCACTTTTTTGGGCCTCCAGAACCTAACCCCTATTTTCTCCACTGATTACATGTAATTACATATCGCGATTTAGTACCGTATATACTCGTCTATAATTCTACCTTGTGTATAGGTTGACCTTGATTTTTTGACCAAGAAATCATTAATTTATGATATGCCTCGTGTATAGGTCGACCCAAGCTTTTGAGGGTAATGGAACAACAAATTAGGGTAATAAAGCACATATTTTATGGCATATAAAACTCATTTCAGAAAACCTTCACTAAAAACACTCTACATCCTATAAACTGAGGGTCGCTGTGCCTGAAACACCGAGCTCCGAAGGCAAATTGTTTACCATTTATTATTACGGCACTTTACACTGAAACGCGGGTAGTTTCAGCAAAAATATTGTATATTTCCATTCAAATATTTATTCAAGTCAATTAGGATAGAATATTATTGTAATATAACAGGTTTTTTAACTGAAAGCCATTCGAAAAGCAATTACGGTAACATCTTTTGAACAACGAAAGAAAGCGAATGTAATGGCAAAGGAAAAAAAAAAGAGATGGATTGGGAACGCCAACATATACGTGCGATGTACATTCTTGACCGTACGGGGGAAACGGCGCGGGGAGGGTGCGCAGTAGGTCGCTCTTACGTTATCGCTGATGTCATATGACGTATCGGACTGTGATTGGGCCACGCATCCTTACCACCCACGTATTCCCTCCGCTGCTAGCTGTGATTGGTCTAATGTAACATGACGTGCCCTGCCACCAGAGGGAATAAGTCGCTGACCTTAGGTGCGCCAGTCTCATTGTCCTCAGTCTCCGCGTATACAGTTCTCTCTTGTGCCAGCTAATCTGTTCAACAATGGCATCTGCTGGACCCCCACCACCCCAGAAAAATCTTGAATTACCTGGACCAAGCCGCCCCAAGCCCAAGAAGGTGAGACGCGCCTTAAGCTACGAAGTGAAATATAAAATCGTTCAGAAGTTAGAAAAAGGAACGAGGCAGGTCGATCTGGCGCGACAGCATGGCGTTAACAAATCTACGATCCTCACCATCAAGAAGGATGCCGCCAAGATAAAAGAACACATGAGCATCACAAAGTCTGCAGGTGCCTCGAGGGTCAAGTATTGTCAGAATAAGGTGCTGCTCAAGACGGAGAATTTATTGGTGAGCTACTTGATTCGTCAGGTGAGAAGGAATATGGCGGTCGACACTCGGGCAGTGCAGGACTATGCGAGAGAACTGTACGTATCAGTGGCGCGAAAGATGGGAATTGCAGAGCCCAAACCCTTCACTGCTTCCGCTGGGTGGCTGCAAGGGTTTATAAACGTCGTAACAAGATCACAAACATTGAAATTGTTGGTGAAGGAGCGAGTGCTGACCGTGCTGCGGCGATGGATTTTCCTCCATTCTTACGAGAAATTATGGAGGAAGGACAGTCCACCGACGACCAGGTGTTCAACATGGATGAATCCGGGCTCTTTTGGAAGAAATTACCTTCCAAAACATTCGTAGTCAAGTCTGCCAGCAAGTGTAGGGGCTTGAAGTTGCAGAAGGAGCGCATCACCGTCCTGTTCACCACCAATGCCTCCGGCACCTGTAAGCTCAAGTTGTCTGTGATCCACACAGCCCGCAAGCCTACAAAAACATGGACATGAGCAAGTTAAATGTCCACTGGCTAACCTCAAGGAAGGCATGGATGTTCACTGGTCTGTCCCTCTCCTGGTTTGACGACTGTTTCGTTCCTGACGTGAAGAAATTCTGCGCGCAAAATAATGTGCCATTCAGCATTTTGTTGCTCCTTGACAATGAACCAGGACACTCGCCCCTACTGTTGGATCGTCACCCCAATGTAAACGTGGTCTTCCTTCTCCCCCACACTACGTCGTTAATCCAGCCCATGGATCAGGAGTTGATATGTAACGTCAAGGCTGCTTTCTCCGCAAAGAAGTTTCGGCTCCTGAACGACTTGACCAACACCAAGGATGAATTACGGAACCTTCTGAGTGGCACCGATAACGAGAGCGAGGATCCAGAACAAGGGTTGGCGGAGCATGAAGTGCGAGTCAAACAGTTTTGGAAAATGTTCAACGTGAAGAAAGCTGTTGATTTCTTGGTGGAGGCATGGGGGCAGCTGTCTGTGGCAACGATTCGTCACGCGTGGCGGCATGTGTTGCAGGGTATCCCAGGTGGGAGGCAGAGTCAAGCGGTGGCTGGAGAGGCTCAGTCTGTTACTGTGGCATTGGACATTGCAAGAAAGGCTGCACAGAGTGTTAGAGCTGCAGGCTTCTCCGAGACCACCAACGACGACATCCTGGAGGTAATCAGGCAACCTGAGGTGACTGCCGACGAGATGTTGGAAGATGATGACGTCAGTGAGGAGGGAGGTGGTACGGCAGAACAAGAAGAACAGAAGTTAACACATGGTGATGTAAAGGAGGCCATCGAGTTTGCCCAGAAACTCAAGCTCATCCTTTCCAAAGACCCAGTGAATCACCGATACGAAGTCTCCAATAACCTTCTGTTGCAATCTATGGAGCCGTATATCCAGATGTATCACGCCGACATCAATGCTAGCCGTCAACGTAACATTACCGAGTTCTTCGCCCGCAACCCACCACAACCACAGACAGCCCAAGTCAGTGATAGTGACAGTGACAATATGGACTTTGAGGGGTTTGTCAGGGAGGCCCTGCTAACCTCTGTGGTGGATAGTGATACAAGTGATTCACCTGAGGGCCACTAATCTGCCCTCTGCCTCAGAACCAGCCGCCATCCCCGTGTGCCTAGCCATCTCTTCTACTGACGTAAGTGTTAAAAACCTTGATATTTCTCTTATACCTGTACAGAATATTATTCTCTTATTGATATTTATCTTATATATTATGTGTGTGTCCATACCATCATAAAATTAAGATGTTCTTTTTACTACAACGGACGTATTGTGTCGGAAAAAGTGTAGTCTGGGGGTCGGCCCAGTCTCTACTTCAATTAATCCCATATGTTCTGTTATTTCGTTTACGCGTTCCTCTTTTTACGCGGACCTCCACGGGTTTAATTGACAGCGTAAATCGAGACTATACTGTAAGTAGAATATTAAAACACACATGAGGAGACAAGATGGCATTGTTTTCGTGAGTGGCGATGGTTCTACATAAGAAACTGAAGAAAATAAGACCCTGGTTGTAGCTGTAAAAAACTTAATTTAAAAAAAAATTTAATACCTGTATGTATGTTTTAAGTAATGCTATTTAATGTTAATAAGGTGCGACGATTGAGAACTCCAATGTATGAACAGTAAGTGCGTACAAGTGAAAACATATCGTCATTTCTCTACATATGAATATGAAAGCAACACTTATTTACTGTTCATATATGTTTTAAATAATATTTACGAATGTAAAACTAAAATTCTATTCACCAATGGTGGTAAAGTCTAAAACATAAGGACAGTCAATGAATATTGTGCGAGTTTTTACTCGGATGACGATGTCATCAGGTTCAACTTCAACATAGACTACTGAAAGCACGTTGTAAGGTAAGTTAACCTATTGTAAGTTGGTGAGCTTCATCTGCTGAAGGCACTGCACAACTTTTCATTACTAATTAGTACATATTTTATGTTTCCATTGTTTACTGGCAGTAACTGGTAAATATTTTTCATGTCTAAAGCTAAAAGTTGCTCCTAGCCCTTCCCATCATGCACGGATTCAACCTAATGAAACTATTACCCATGCATAGGTTGACCCCCAATTTTTTGCCTAAAAATTTGGTCTTAAAAACTCTAACTATACACGAGTATATACGGTATATAGCGAACATCGTTGGACCCTATCTCACAATGTATCCCGACCCTACTGTAATACACTTTCTTTAATAAAAACATTAGTAAAGCCTCCGATAACAACGGTTCGACCAACAACTTTTCATATTTAAGATCCTACAGTAGTTAATTTAGGACCCAATTCAAATTATTTCCTTATTTCATTCGCATTTACGACCAAAATATAATAAAAATAAAATTAAATTAAATGTCCATATAAATAATAACTAAATCCTGATATGTATTATAAAAAAAAATTAAAAATTACTTTAAAAAAAAATGAAGAGCGCCGGGTCTTATTTTCTTAATTTTCTTGTGTAGAACTATCGTCCCGGACTCCCAGCTGTAAACACAAACGAAAACAATGGCGTCCCATCTCCTCTTGTGTGACCATATTATTATTCATTTATATTATACAAGGTGCATTCAGAAACATTATTTAAAGAATATTGTTTGCAATTTTCATTAATTGTATTGCTTTGGGGGGAAAAGAGGGTACTGTATAAAGCCACACAAAAGATACGATGATTCACCTTACACTGCAATATTGGAGGACACATTACCGTCATTATTCGAGGCTTTACTGTACTGTACAATAAATATAAAAATGTGCCATAATGTAAATAAAATAAGATCTCACAAATGTTGAAAAAGACTAAAAATTTTGTTGACCTCTTGCAATACATAAAATTAAAAACAATGGTGAAAATAATAATGAAAGTCCCTGTACATCATCAAATTACAATATTACTAGATGTAGAAAATGAGAAAACAAACCTTCTTTAAATTCTTTAAACATGACATCCAATGTAGTGTCAACAAAAACAAAGTTGCAGGGATTCTGGTAGAACTGACACAGTGTCTTGAGAGGTGTGTTATCATCTGGGTCGATGAACGCTAGATCCTTGATGAATAAAACTGCAATAATATTTGTACGTTCTCCATCATACACGGGTACACGAGAATATCCTGAAAAATGAAGTGTAAAATTAGTTTCCTGTAAAGTATGAAGGAAAAAGCTGTACAGTATCAGTTCCTTAGTTACAGCACTGTACAATACTGTACAGGTAGTTCTGCTATAACGCGATAATTGTGTTCTTGTAAAATATCGTGTTATAGAAAATCGCGTAATAGAAATAACAGGGCTTATGGAGAAAATAGGGTTAGGTGCAGATTACTCGAAATCGAAAAAATTTAGTAGTTAGCCTAACACAAAGGATAGCACAGTCTAAATAAATGTTACATTCATATCTAATAATGAAATCATACAGTAAATGTAACACTTTACTTGATGGGGGAGAAGGGTGATTTTGAGGTTGATAAAATCGAGCTTCTCTTCAAGTGTTATATCCTTTCTTTTACGATCATCACCGGGAATTCTATCACCAGAACGCTTCTTGTTGATATTCTTCTTTACTATATTCACAGTTAATACAGTGGGGTATGCTATAAGGAACGGATCCTACTATGAATATTCCTATAACGAACGGTTTTACCTATAAAATTGAGAATGCTATAACGAACGAAACTCCTACAACGAACATTATTTAATTTTTTTTTTTTCCAATTTATTGTTTTTTTATTACAAATATTAATGATGTTCTTTATTTCAGGGGTTTAGATGCATATTTATGCACTTTTTTACAATTTTTACAATTTTATATTATATTTTTCAGAGTTAAGTGGTTGTATTTGGGGGCCTGGAACGGATTAATCCTATAACGAACGAATGCTATAAGGAACAAGGTTCTAGAACCAATTAGATTCGTTATAGCATACCCCACTGTACCACAAAATTGGAGATATAGTAAGCAAAAATCGCGTTATAGCAAACAAGCGTTCGCGTTATACAAATACAGTATCGTTCCTAATTCATAAATCGCGTTAGAGCAAATTCGCGTTATCAAAACACGCGTTATAGCAGAACTCACTGTACATTACTTTTTTTTTTTTTTACTTTCATCAATAAAGTTTCCAATATCCAACTACAGGACAGATTTTTGTACTTTACACTAATAAAAATAGAACATGTACTGTACCAAACCTCTTATTTTTACATTTTCTTGTACAAATAGAGGAGCTGTACTGTACAGTGTACACGTATTGTTTAACGTCTCCAAATCAAATGGTGGTATTGTTTATCTTTTTAATGCCTAAATGTAAATTTTCTAGTGTGGGTTTGTGACTGGCTACTAGACAATACAATATAGTGAAAAAAAGCCACTTAGCAAAATACAGGGGGGGGGAGGGAGGCAGCATTAATAGTAACAATTACATTTGCATCATACTAGACCATTTAACAGTACAGTATTGCACAAGGAAATTAAAGTTGTGGTTTTATTCCCTTACAAGCTTCATATAATCAGTGAGATAAACAACAATTATGAAAGATGTGGTACAGTAATGTAGTACCGGTATTTACTTTGGAAGTGACAAATGGTAGTGGTAGCTAAGTAAGCAACCCAGAATACTGTCGAGTTGAAATTGCACTTAAGTCTCATATTTTTTTAAGCACTGTATTGTACTGTGCTGATAAATCACCATAAAAGTCAGAGATGCTGAGTAATTACCATTGCAATTTGTTAATTACTCTGCACATTTTTGGGTCATAAGATTTATCTTTGTTCAAAGTCTCAGGCCAGTATACAAAGGTAATGGGTATAATAGTCCTCCACAAGCTGATTAAGGATCTGTGATAAAAAGAAGAAAAAATATTTGGTATACCGGTATACTTTTCTTCATGACTCTTGGAGAAATTTAATAGGCTTTTTAATGTTAATTACTCAGAATGTGTGATTTTCCAGAGGTGATTTTTGGTTTTTGTTATACAGTGTGGTTTTTGTGTTAAAACTTTTGTTTTTTGTGCTATTTACCTTGCTGCATTATGTCATTGATGGAATTAAAGTCTAGAATGGTGTCAACATTAAGCATAAAGACATCATCGAGTTTGGTCATAACCTCTCCAACAGTCTTCTTGTGCAGCTCCAGGGCGCCACATATGATGTTCTGTTCCTCTTTCTGAAGATCATTGTGGTCATGTGTTACCTGCAAACATGAAAAAAAACTAATTTAAGTTTTCACACTCATTACAAGTTAAGGATGTTATTCATTGTCAAAATGAATAGGTAGTACAGTACAGTACATTATCATAATACAGTACTTTATGTACAAAATTCTAGCTTAACTTCAATACAGTACAGTACTGTAATAGTATTCACTGAATAACTTTATATGATTTGTAGCAAGCATGGCACTGAATAATAAATTAAACTCCTCATGAAAAGGTGTTGAAAAAATATATACCAGTCAGGCAGCCAAAAATTAAATTAATGAAGCTACAGTGAGTTCTGCTATAACACGTGTTTTGACAACGCGAATGGGCTCTAACGCGATTTATAAATAGAGGAACGATATTTGTATAACGCGAACGCTTGTTTGCTGTAACGCGATTTTTGCTTACTATTTCTCCAATTTTGTGGTATTAACTGTGAATATGGTAAAGAAGAATATCTCCAAGAAGCGTTCTGGTGATCGCATTCCCGGTGATGATCGTAAAAGAAAGGCTATAACCCTTGAAGAGAAGCTCGATGTTATCAACCTCAAAATCACCCTTCTCCCCCATCAAGTTATATTCATATTTTTTCAAGGTAAAGTGTTACATTTACAGTATGATTTCATTATTAGATATGAATGAAACATTTATTTAGACTGTGCTATCCTTTGTGTTAGGCTAACTACTAAATTTTTTTTTATTTTCTAGTAGTAATCTGCACCTAACCCTATTTTCTCCATAAGCCCTCTTATTTCTATTATGCGAATTTCTATAACACGATGTTTTACAAGAACACAACTATCGCGTTATAGCAGAACTGACTGTACAGTATATATATATAAAAAAAAGTAGTAGTTTATATTGAGAGCAAAGTACAGTAACTGATAGATGATGAGAAATAGATGATCAGAAAACAATAGTTGTATTGGTGAGACCCTCATGCCCAAAATGGCAGCAAAAATCTACTTAACACCTTGAGGATCTAATCAGACTCCAAAAATACACAAAAGATATGACAAAACTCGACTGCTCTACCCCAGATATACTCGAATAATATTTTGTCTAATCATGCTAACCAATATGAATTGGACGGTAGCATATCAACACCCCCTCCTCCCCTTCCCCACTGCAAGGTTGCATCAATGGACAATAATTAAACCACAAGCAGAATGCAAAAGCTTCCGTTTAAAATTGCAAAGTTAAATGCAAAAATTTTACTTACCAACAACGACAATGCCAGGTTGGTGATAGTTTTATATATATATATATATATATATATATATATATATATATATATATATATATATATATATATATATATATATATATATATATATATATATATATATATATATATATATATATATATATATATATATATATATATATATATACATATATATACAATCAACACCTCAACCCGACAGGATTCAACCCACGCCCACGGAAAGCACATGATACAAAAGCACCTGACTCTGAACACACGTAGGTGGTCAGAGTAACGTTTTACCAAATCCGGCCGAAACACGAGGATCCATATATATTTCACTAGCTCAATAAACACGCGGACTTCCCCATTAGAGGTTCACGGCGCCATAAGCTCGTTGAACAGGCTTTGTGTGAAATATAACAGAGTCTAGGACTGCTTTTAGTATCCTGGTGGTCCAGCAGTTAGCGTTCCCTGGTCACAGTCATGTGCTCGTGGGCCATGGGTTAGAATCCTGGCGGGTTGAGGTGTTGATTGTATTTAGAAGTCCGCGTGTTTATTGGGTTAATGAAAAAAAAAATATATATATATATATATATATACAGTTGTACCCCACTTAACGCGGTCAATTGAACCCAGAGGGTCCCGCGTTAAGTGAAATCCGCGTTAAGTGAACAACAGAACATATGGGATTAATTCCAATAGAAACCGGCCCGACCCCCAACTCCACTTTTTGAAGGCACATACCTATGTTGTAGTAAAAATAACATCTTAATTTTATGATGGTACATGCACACAATTAATACTTAAGAGAAATAGAGAAATACAGTCGCCAAGTTAATGTCCATTCAAATAATGGACTCGACTCCCTCCCCCTCTCACACTACACTGCCGGCTCTTCCCTCTCAGAGAAATTTTTGGGGGAAAACCACTAAATTTTAATAAATAATACCTCAAACTAAAGTTAGGATAATACAATTGACATTGCTGGATTCCTTGTAAGACCAGGAATATTTTGAATATAAATGTCATATATTTTGCACAAAAGATAACGTAGTTACCTAGAGAAAAAATTTTATCTAAAATTTGTATGTTTAATGAAAAATATATGATGTTTATATTCAAAATGATCACCAAATTATAAGAATTCCAGCAATGTAAATTATATTCTGACCGGGTAATTTGTATGAATTTTATGAGCGAAAACAAATATCTTCAGTTAATAAAAAAAAAAATAATCTTCACAACACTATCTGTCAATCAAAGTACCACACCTTGCCTCCCCCCCTCTTCCAACCGCGCGGTCAGTCCCAACCCTCCCCCCCACCCCCCACCAATCCTCCCTTCCAGGGTTTTTAACATTTAGTATTAAATAATACCTCAGATTAAAGTTAGGATAATATAATTGACATTGCTGGATTCCTTGTAAGACCAGGAATATTTTGAATATAAATGTCATATATTTTGCACAAAAGATAACATAGTTAATTTGAGAAAAATTTTTATCTAAAATTTGTATGTCTAATGCAAAAATATGATGTTTATATTCAAAATGATCATCAAATTATAAGAATTCCAGCAATGTAAATTATATTCAGACCGGATAATTTGTATGAATTTTATGAGCTAAAACAAATATCTTCAGTTAATAAAAAAAAAAATAATTCTTCACAGGGTAACAGATGGTCGGTCGGTCCCTCCCTTCCCCCACCCCCCACCAACCGTCCCAAGGAGATGTGTGGGATAACCACTAAATTTTAATAAATAATACCTCAAACTAAAGTTAGGATAATATAATTGACATTGCTGGATTCCTTGTAAGACCAGGAATATTTTGAATATAAATGTCATATATTTTGCACAAAAGATAACATAGTTACTCTGAGAAAAATTTTTATCTAAAATTTGTATGTCTAATGCAAAATATATGATGTTTATATTCAAAATGATCACCAAATTATAAGAATTCCAGCAATGTAAATTATATTCTGGCTGGGTAATTTGTATGAATTTTATGAGCTAAAACAGGCAGTCAGGCAGGGTGGCGGGTGGGGCAAATCTAAAAATAGCATCTCGA